CACACACACACACATACCCCACATTTCAACATGTATAGATCCTTGCTGTAATTTTTCGGTTGAGAAAGTGCCTGCTTCCCACAGCTGCTCCAGAATCACAAAAGATTTCATTAACATACTTTTTACCCCAACGAAAACACCACCTTCTGCACCCGATGACCCATGATGTCTTAATTTTACCTCTGCTGAGAGTACTTGCGTCCTGTCAAACACTTGTAGTTACTAACACACTAAGATGACGTTACTGGCCTACTTAAATTCGTTATCAACACAGTCGAAAGCCAATACTAAAACAGATTTTAAAATACATTACTGACATAGTCGAGTGCCATTACTAACACTGACACTGAATGCCGTTGCTGACACATCTATAATATAGTCGAGTGGTGTTGCTAAAACACTTAAAATACGGTACTACCACATTCAAATTATATTGTTACTGACACACTTAATTTAACTGTCTTACCAACATAATCGAATGCCATTATTGACACACTTAAATTACGTTTCTGGGGCAGTCCAATGCCTTTACTGAAACACTTACTTTAATTTGTTTAACTAACATAGTCGAATCCCGTTACTGACACACTTAATTTAAATTGCCTTACTAACATAGTCGAATGCTGTTACTGACACACTTCAGATGCGTTGCCGTTACTAACACACTTGTTCAACTGAAACACCTCGTTCCCTTCTCCACGCTTAATGAGTTCAGAATTAATTTCTCCACTGAGGTAAGCATCCGCTCCTTGCTGCAGATAACCTGGGACCGGAGTCGGGGGCGGTACTCCATCGTTTGTTTCTGCGCTCATCTACAAACGGCGTGATGTCGAAGAGGCTGGCCCAGTCTCTCCCGGATGCATGTGTCTGGAGGCCTGCGCGCCTGCATGCGGTTAGGGAATTTGGGGAAAGGTGTGTGAGTATGTGGGGGTGAGGGTGTTGTTTGTATTTTGAAATATCGCAACAGACCGACGTCTTGACCTTGGGTTTGTCGATTTTGGGCTACTTCATGTAACTTGAGTGTTATGAGGGGTCTGTCGATCTTGGGCGGGATCTTGTTACTTGAGAGCTATGTAGGTGTAGATGTGTCTGTGTTTGTGTGCGTGAAAGAGAGAGAGAGAGAGAGAGAGAGAGAGAGAGAGAGACAGAGAGAGAGAGACAGAGAGAGA